AAATGCTTATTTGAGGTCTGCTTTGTATAGAAAACTGAAGAATTGTTTCACTTGGTGCATTGAGTACGTGTAGTTATATATATGTAGTTTAGAGATTATTTCTTTATTTCAAAGAGATTGTAACTAAAAGAAACTACGATAGTAGGGATTGAGATGTGAATAGATATGTCGGCAGGTGTAATAACAGTTGAGATTAGTTATAGAAATGTTTATGTGCTCATCATTGTGTCAAAAATGTCAAAATTAAACTAATAAAAAGCATTAACTAGTATGCGCGAGTAATTATGATCCCAAATTGATAATTATGCTGGTTGAATTTTTTCTATTTTCATTTTGAGTCTCTCCACGTATTTCACGTGTATTGGAACAACGTGTAAACATTTCCAACGGATAATAATCAGTAAATTAGTCCTGTTACTTTTATTGTGATTGGTGAATTACTTTTCATTGCTTGCTATGATGTTTTTTTGGGAAATGGAGATAAAAGATGATATTTTTTTCTCTCTGTTTTATTATTTGCTTAATGGGGTTTAATCACTTGGGTGATATGTCCACTTCGATCTAAAATCAGCCAAGAAAGAGTAAAAAGTCAGCATGTTCTTATTATTAATGATCTGGAATAGCTTTGTTAACCTAAATGGTAGGTCCTTTAGTTGATTACGCATTTTTAAACTTTTTGGTCCCAATTTCAAAAGATGGAAAATTGGTTAATTTGGTTGAATGAAATCAGTTTAATATTGTACCTGGAAACCAAAGTCATTTATGTATAGTTTATTTGGAAGAAGTGGAGAGTATCTGCAGCAAAGCCTGAACAATTAATTAATGAACAAGTTTTTTCCTTATGAACTTTATTTTTTCCACTTCAATGCTACATTCCCTTTTCTTGGACGTGTGTAATAGAGTTGGTTGATATATTTTGCATGAAGTAAAGACCTTACAACTTCTCCAACCTAACGCTAGATCAATTATTTTACTTCAAAATAGATCCAAATTTATGTCCAACCCTACGCTACACACTAAATAAATTGTTATATTGTAATGGAAATCCTACGACAGGAAACAAGGTTATGGTTTCCGTTAGAATAACTCTAAACGGAAATTCCAATGAAAATATTTCGTTGGAATGAATTTTTCACTAGAATTTTAGACAGAATGTGATGATTCTAACGACTATTTTTCCAATAGTTTTTTACTTTAGGATTTCCGTTGGAATATGCAATTTCTGTTGAAATTTTTATTTTTACTCCCGTTAGAAAATCTACCGTTGGAATCGTCAAAATCCAACGAAAAGTCCAACAAAAAATCCATTCCAACGGAATATTTTTGTTGAAATTTTTGTTGGAGTCAATTGAAAATTGCCAACGGATATGATAGCATTGAAATTTCAGTTGGAATATATTTCCGTTGAAATTTTTCATAGAAATTTCATCATTTTCTTGTATTACATAATACTTCTACAATAGATAATTGAACATGGCGGGCCAGATTAGGCAAAATTTAAAAAAATATACACTTAGTTGGACGTTGTTAGTAAATGAGACATTCATTTGGGCTATATCAAAAGAGATTTATTAATTTGACAGTTTGATTAAATATAATTCATTAGTCACTCCACTCGGATAAAATGCTGACGTAGACGGATAAATTATTGGAATGTCATATAATGTTTCTTTAAATATTACTGATGTGTAATTTATGTGGCAAAAAAGTGGATAGCCCCGTCAGCTGCTGTTTATTGTGTTTTTGTGCTTATTTTCGTGTGTTTTGTATGCTTTAATCAAGTCTTTTTAGATTTGTTTTAGTGTCGACCGATCCATTTTATCGTATTTTGTGTATTTTTGCGTTCGTTATGTGTTTTTGTGTTTTGACGTATTTTTCTTGTCTTTTTAGTGTTGATTAGGTCCATTTTGCCAAGTTTGGAAAAACGAGCTGATCGAGCCGTCCGAGCCAACCGAGCCACCCGAGCCGTCCCGGGCCATGACCGGGTCCGGACCCACGCACCCCCCAGGAACCCAACTCGCAGCGAACCAGTGCTCGCGACCCGCGAGCGCGCACCCAGCGCCCCAGGCGCCCAACTCGCAGCAAACTAGAGCTCGCGAGCCGCGAGTCCAGCCCGGGCCAGTCCTATGCCAACCATGCACACTGGCTGCGAAACCCGTTTCGAGACCCGCGAACTGAAGAATTTCATTAAATGTGGGTGTTTGCGATGTAGCTATATATAGACATTGTGTTTTGTATTTTTGGACATCACCCCTCATTTCCCAACTTTTTAGTTGGGAAATTAGCTCTTTTTATCTCTTTTACTTTTATGCTTTGGTTTGGAGGTCCAACACTTGGCATTTTTCGACGATTTTTCCGGCGAAATTCCGGCGACTTCATTTTTGTTCAAAATTCGATCTTTACGCATTATTTTCGTCTGAGCTTGCGATAGAAGAGTAAATACCTTGATTAGGGCTTATTGCTTCGAGTTTGTGTTTTGGTTGAAAGATTGTGTGATGCTCGATTTTAGAACAAATGTGCATTTATTCCATCATTATTGTGCACTTTATTAAGCGACTAGTTTTTTTTTTATCATTTTTCTTGTTTACTGCATCAACGTTAAAAAACTTCAATAATGTATATATTAATTAACATTACTTTTCATTTATCAACTTATTTGAATAATAAAAATATAATTATTATTTTATAATTTTTATATAATATTTTATATTTTTTTATTGAAAACAAAATAATATGTGTATATTTAAAATATAAATAATACTTTTATATAGTTTGATCGATTTCGTTATTTTGTTTGTTTATTTATTTATTTATTTTGTAAACAAGGTGGAAATCAGAATGAAATAACCTGAATTTTAATATTTGTAAAGACTGTACAATGTTATGCTAATGTGCATTCTCGAACGCTTTGATCTGCATTTGATTTAACGTTATAGTGCATTCTGATAGTCCCTGACGTGCATACCGATTATAACTACTGTGCCTTCAGTCCTGATTCTTTTATGTGCAAATCCAAACTAAATTTGAACTAAAAGTAATTGGATTATTCACTTGATTAATCGAGTTAACTTAAATAATTAATATATTTTCTTATTATTCTTATAAAAGTATATTTAGTATTTTAATATTTTTATATTTTATTGATTAAAATATTATAAAATAATATATATATATATATATTATAGAAGTATAAATATATATAATTTTTATAATATATGAAAATATATTATTTTTATTTAGTAGTTTATTTGTTATTTAAAAATATATGTATAAAAATATATAGAAAGTGATATTTTATTATAATTTTTTGTAAATTATAAATATGACCATGGACTAATTTGAAATTACCAAAATTTTGATAAATTATATATTTGACCCATATACAAATTTGTAATATATTAAAGTTTTTGAAATTGCATTGGGGTCCCTAAGACTTATTAAATTTCCAAAAATGAAACCAGCCCAAATTAAAAATTCCCGTCGGTTTTTTCGGACATCAACGTCCGTGCTTATGTCGTCGGCGTCTAGCCCCGGAATGAATGAATATGACCTCCGATGATGGTGATTTCGAAGTGGTTGAGACAAATTTGAGTTCATTTGATGGGCTGGAGATGGTGCAAGCCCGTCGCGACGGCCAGATCGATTAGGTTTTCTGCGGCGGCCTGTCGCGGTGCATTGACGAAGATGATGAAGTCGTCCTTGATCTCTGGCTTCTTAGACACATATTTACGTGGAGACAGGGCGGGCATCTCTGAAACGGAGCCGATAAAGAGCTTGCGGAGGCGCTCCTATTTGAAGGTGGTTGCGGCGGAGCTAGGCGGCAGGCGAGCGGCGGTAGGCGTGCGGCGACGGTGTCACCGACGGTCGCGATTTGGGACCGGCGCCGATTGTGTGTGTTGCTATGCGTGTGTGTGAGAAGTGTGTGTGTGTTGTGTGTGTGTACATGTGTTGTGTGTATCAGTATGTGTGAGAGATAAGGTGGATGATTGGGATATGGTGGGCCCATGTGCTTGTGTTTAATTTCAAAAATTATTCTTAATGAATGTATAAAATATTGTTTATTTTTTGTTGTTACATCGTTCAATCCAATGGCTATGATTTATTCTTATTTCTTTCACTAAGCACCTTTCTCCCTATAAAATATATATATAGGGGCTGGTTCAAATAAAAATTAGTCCTAGTGTGAAAACCATGAGAACCATATTTGATGCTATTTTTAATTATATTTGATGCAATTTTAATATTAGATGATGCTATCATTTTTACGAATGCTAATATAAATTGTGCTGATATTTTTAATAAAATTAATTTTGGTTAAAAATAGCACCAAACACAATCAATCATAGGACTACACACAATTAAAAATAGCAGTTATCACGGTTCTCACAATAAGACTTAGTTCTCATTTGAACCATGATACTATATTATAAATATATTCAGTATTTGTGCTAGTATTTCCCGTACAACTTCGACAAAAATCAGTATTACCGTATATTCGGTATTTTGTGTTCATTTATACCGCACCAATGTCGATATCAGATATACAGACTCGTATGGTCTGGTATTTAAAACACTGCTAGTATCCTACTCATCTTGTCTTTTGTTGTCATCCTTATATTAGTATTGCATGTGTAGTGAAGTTCATTTGTGTTCATATTTGAATTGAAGGGCAAAAATAAATAGAAAATAAGATACTTGTAAGTACTTTACATAACATTAATGAAATTTTTATTAATATAGAACGCATTTTTAGTATAGAAAACAGAATTTATAGAGAGATGATGGAAGAACTACACTGCACAGTAATAGAAAACTGCCAACAATAAATAATTAATGACAATTGTTTTTTTTTTTNAATTTTCAGCCATTTTAGTAATTTTTAATTTCTTCATTTTGTATTTACATCTTTAATTCTATAATTAATATTATAATATTTAAAAGAGGTTGTAAGGATTATGTAAATTTAATTGTGTTTTATTATCTTAGTAAATTGTAAGTAACACTATATTTTGATGTAACAATTAACTCATCTCCTTACTGGAATCTGTCGAAGTCTTAGCACAACAGGAAGCCAATTAAAACCCACTTACTGTTTTCACAGACTTAATCATACTTATTCACAACAGGAAGCCAATTAAAACTTTATTTAGTAGTTGTTCTTGATATTCCCTTGCTATAAATTCCTATATACCTAAACATTTTTCTTGTACTTAAGTTACACCAGATTTTTGTTGCTTCTGAGGACATACTACAACTCGTCCAAGTTAGAGCTGTCTGGAGGCGGCCACACCACAGTTTCCAAGAGACGTTCGCGCATTAACTCAAGATTCTGCTCCGTGATTCTTTCGTACATCTCTGTGTGATCACATTCCTATATCATGATGATACCTCAGACATACGCACATTTTCCGAAAAAAGTAAATAAATAAAGACAGACAGATAACTAGATCTCACACCTTAACCCATTTTCCATATAGACGAAGCCGAGTTACCATCACTCTTTCGGCAAGCTCCTGCTTTTCCTGTTTTACAAATGTTATCCATATAAATTTGGGTTCCCACCACTTCAACACCATGAATAGTAGTAGTTCAAGCAATTAAGAAGCAATACTACTCAAGTTAACAAAACCATGAATAGTTGAACAAAACTAGCTGTCGATTATGTCTAAAATCTGAATATGAAGTACCTTGACAAGGTCACGGATGAAGCCTTTTCCATAACCATTCTCATTTGATGCAACATAACTGTGAGATTCATTGNNNNGAACATTTATAATGACTTCATTATAATTAACTGTGAGATTCACCGAGGTTTAATTGATTTGCTCAAGTTCTGTTTTGTAGAAGTGAAGTAAATGTAAATAAAATACTACTCAATAAAAAAGGTAACTAAAATTATTTAATTTGGATTGCTTCACTATAACCTCGATGCTAAAAAATCACCACCGTCTTTATTGGAACTTTTTCTAAAATTTTGAGAAAAGCGTGCATCAACTGAATTTTGTGCAGAGTGTTCAATAAGTTAGTCACGATCATGATACCAAGTATTGGATTGGGTACAAAGACATCACTTCAAAGGTAACTGATTATCTTGCAGGCACAAATACTTGGATAAATAAGAGCCTCCACAAAATTGAGAAGACTTACTCATAGAACCATCTGTATTGTACTGGGTTCATCTCATAAAGCTGATGCAACACAGTCCTCACAGCTTTATATGTGAAATAGTCCACTATTTGCTGCACGGACAATCACCTTCAGTACATATAAATCAAATAACACATGAAATTTTGACAAACCAAACATATATACATGACAATTTTCAATCTGAACCTTAAAATGTAAACCTTATATTCATGGAAGATAAACATATATACATAATTATCACCTGACTAATTGATCCTACAATTAAGAATTGTTTTCAAAGTGTTACAAACACCCACTTTTGATAGTTTTCTTTCATAGTCACCATTTTCGTTTTCATTTTAATAAAGGAGCAATTTTGGGGATCATATATTTCATACAAGGGGCATAAACAAAAAAGTTTCACCGAATACATATGAATCCATTATAAATTCCTTATAATTAAAACCAAAAGAAGATATTCTTACTCTTTTAACATCCTCAAAGTTGTCTTCATAATTCCCCGCAAGCTCATCCACAATTACAAAACTCTTCTTCTTCTTCTTCTTGTTGTGAATATATTTTCCTAAGTTCTTGGAAGCCAAAAGAGCTTTCAGAGAATAACAATCAAGAAACGAACTTCTCAACTCCATTGACCCTAAACGAGGCACCTTTTTTCTGGCACTTGAAATCAAATCTCCACAGACACACAAACGTGGACAAGTCTTTTGATCGATCAACTGTGAGCTTACAACGGACACCATCTTTCTAATCTATTAATAATGATCACCACTAAGTTAAAAAAGGACCTCTTATTTTTCTCAAGACAAGAAGAAGAGGTCGAAAACATCAGAAAATCACAAAACAGAAAACGTGGTTAGATTTGAATTGTTAATAAGGAATTGGGAATAACCCTGACCATAATAATTGTTTGAGGTAATTGTGCCTCAGTCACCACTCACCACAGGTTCTCGGAGTCTAGAAGCTTCAGTTGGAGACTTTGGGCCAGCACAGCATGAGATAACCTCATGTGTCAGCACTTAACTTGTCTTGGGCTAAATTATGTACTGTTGTTGGGCCTGATTTTTATAGGACTTGAATACAGTGTGGTTAAGCTTCATAAATCTCAACAGTACAGGTCAACCCAAAATATCAGGAAAAATGACACATGAGCTTCGATAGGACTTGTTGACTTTAGACCACCGACAATACATTGAATCCAAGTTTACATATCTGGCGTATAAATAGATATAAATCCTGAATGACATAGACAAATTCAAGTAAAAAAGTCAAACTCAAAACTTTTTCATTACATAAATAAAATAGTACATCCAGAATATATGTTAACAAATAAAAATACAGTAATAAATGCGTAAACAATAAAATTTGTTTCATTCCTATCTAGGGACGGAGCTAGGATTCAAATTATTCTTGGACTATGCTTATTTTAATGAAACTTGCATACCACATAAATAAATTATAAGTATGACAAACTAAATATAAAATTAATCCAAAATAAATGCTTAATTGAAAATAATTTGATTTTGTTAGGCTTCTTAACTGCTAGACAATTATATTTTATTATAAAAATGTAAATTTACGTTTTTATTTATAATATAATATAAATTATGACATTTGATATGAATATATAGACATATTGAAAAGTATGTTTGTCTAATTATTAGACAACCTAATTAAAAAAATGTTGATAAATAATAATTGCTAAATAAAAAGTGAATATTGGCCAATGTGAACAAAAATAAAATAAGCAATATTTATTATAAAATTAATAAATAAAATAATTTCAAGCATAAATGAAATATATTATTAGGATATTAGTATATAACATAAAAATAATAAAGTGAAATTAAATCTAAAATATAAATTATGAAAAAAATATAAAAATTATTATAAACTCATAATTGACTTACCAAGTAATTTTCTGTAAACAAATACCTCTTAATAATTAACTTGCCAAGTAATTATCTTAATATAAATATTTCTTAAGTAATTATCTCTAAATAAATAGTACTCTCCTAGTCACCCTTACGGTGTTATTTGTTGATAGACTCCCGAGTTGGAGGCCGAGCCTTCCTCCTCAAATAATTACCCTCTTGACGATGACGACTTCTTAGATAACGAGACGTATCAGTCCGGTAACTTTGTGATTTATGTGTCCATCCCCCCTCACAACGACAATTCTCGTGAGGTAGCTCCTCTCATTGAGCTCGTTGCTTCTGAGATGGGACCTCAGGGACCGTTTCACATTGCTATCACTGACACTCAGGACGAGACTGAGTCGACTCATACTATTACTGCAGAGAGCGAGCATTTGGTCGTGTGTTCAGACAGTACCATTTCCTAGACCGCTAATGAGGACATGAGTACCCCACCGGCCGATTCCTTTACCCTTACTCTCTTGAAGAGGATCTATGCTCTCAACCGGGCTCAGCCTAGTGATGCGCCTGCGGAGCAGGAGGACGAGCAGAAGGGATCGCTTGTAGAGAGCCTCGACCATAGCCGACCTCGGACAAGATCCAGGACTGCGCAGCGTTTAGCCATGCGGACCCAACCCCTCTCTAGTGGATCGATTCAGCCTGCGAACCCAATCATTATCTCTCTCGCTGCCTTGACGCCTTCATCTGTGATAACTGTTTGTTGTGATTTTGTCTTGTTTTACTGGTGTTTTATGTGCCTTAGTCTGGTGTTTTTAGGTTCGTTTTAGTGTCAACCGGTCGATTTTATCGTGTTTTGTGTGTTTTTGTTCTCGTTTTGTGTCTTTTGTGTTTTGCTATATTTTTCTCGTTTTGTTGGTGTTGAATAGGTCCATTGTCGCGAAGCTTGGGAAGACGAGATTTCCGATCCGTCTGAGCCAACCGAGCCGCCCGAGCTATTGTCGAGCCGTCCCGGGCCATTCCCAAGTCAAGACTGTGCGAGCCCTAGCAATCCCGCACGCCAGGCGCACTCACCGCGAGCTATGACTCGCAAGCGCGCGAGATAGGGTGCCAGACCTGAACGCACGCGTGCACGCGACCCGGCGCGAGAAGGGGAGACCCGCAACAGCACTCGCTACCCAGCGAAGTAGCTCGCTACCTAGCGAGTGACGACCCGTGCCAGTTGCAGTACTAGAGGCGACCTGCCAGCACTCGCCAGCGAGTCCCAACTTGCGCCCGCGCGAAACTAGGCCCACGACCTGTCCACCAAATGTCCAGCCACTCGCCAGCGAGCCCGACGTCGCGACCCGGCGAGTTTGAATTTTATTAAATGTGTGTAAGAGAAGTATGTGTTTTTGGAGATATATATATATGTGTTTGCTCCCCTTGTGTGGGAGCACCTAAGTTTTATTTTTCACTTTTTCCCTTTTGGTATTTGTTCTCTCCTTTTATATTCCTTTCTATTTTGTGTTGGGAGCTCTGTGACTCTAAATTTCTAGCGACTTAATTTTTATCAGGATTCGAGCTTTTCACTCCAGTTTTCTTCGAGTATGCAATAGGAGAGTGGGTACTTACTTTTAAGCTTCATTACTCCGTATTTTTCCAGTTTTACTTATGAAGTTTTTCAAGGTGAATTTGATTTTTTGCTTGTTAAATGGGGGAAAGTTTGGATCTTTTTATTTTCATTGCTTGTCTAAGTGATTATAGAAGTTAAATACTTGCTTATCTTGTATTATATTTTGAGGCTTTGGTTAAAGCTCAATCATTTATGTTAAGAAAGCTTGTGTTAATTACCTAAGAACTTGGTGTTAGCATATTTCTCTTCGTTTATTTGAGTTAAATACTTGCTTATCTTGTATTAAAGTTTGAGACTTTGGTTAAAGCTAAACCATCTAGGTTAAGAAAGCTTGTGTTAATTACCTAGAAACTTGGTTTTAGCATATTTCTCTTCCTTTTTTTGTGTTTTTCTTGAGTTGTAGAGAATCCAGTCAACCAAATTTCCCATCTTTTCTCTTAAAGCTCAATTTTCCATGTTTGCTTTCAAGTGCTTTCGATTTTTAGTTGTCATTGGTTTAATTCAACCTCAACCAACATGATTAGTATGTTTAGGATTTTATATTCTATTTTTGTGCCTTTAGACAATTAATTGGTAGGCGAAGCTCTGAACCGTCTTCCTCTGGAAAACGACCTGAGTTCGAATAACTTGATTATCAACCTATCCCGCTAGAATCAACTAAACAATTGGCGCTGTTGCCGGGGAAGGCAAGTAGGATGCTAAGTTTGCTTATTAGTTGTCCTTTGTTTTTTGTGTTTCTCTTGATTTTTGTGATATTTGCTTAAATTCCGTGTTTCTCTTACTTTCTCTTTCTTTTGGTAGATGATTTGTATTTATTTCTTGTGTTTTGTTCTTGTTTCCCATTGGTGCATTCACAGGTATAGTTGCTTGTTTTTGTTTATGTGAGGAAGAGGACGTGGAACTCGAAAGGAGATACCATCAATCAATCTATACGTTGAGCTCAAAATAGGCGCAACACAACCTGAACCGAAACCGATGGGGGACCAAGGAGAACAATTACCACCACCACCTCCGAACATGAGGTATTTTGCTCGACCCATCATCGGTGACAACACCTCATGCCTCATGCTCGGAGAGGCGGCCCGAAATTATGATTTGAAGACTATACATCTCAACCAATGGCCCTCTTTCTATGGCTTGCCACAAGAGGACGTGTTTAATGTCATCTTGGAATTCTACGAGGCCTTACCACTCTATAAGGCCTTATCGAGAACCAACTCTGAATGCGTTTTATCCAATACACTTTGAAGGATCGAGCTAAGACATGGTTCATGACACTACTCCCGAACTTGTTTACCAATTGGGAAGCCATCTACAAGAAATACATGGGAAAGTACTACTCCCATCAAAAGACGACGGATCTTCGTGCTCAAATGACGAGTTTTAGTTAAAATCCGGGAGAAACCATCCATGAGGTGTAGGAACGGTTCAAAGGCTATCAACTCCAATGCCCACATCACCACTTTTGCCTCGGGGTCTTGAATCAATTCTTCTATGACGGACTTCATCAAACGCTCCAATACATGGTTGACCACGCGGCCGGAAAAGATACAAGGAGCCATACGGAGGAGGAGATCTACAATTTGTATGAGATGTTGAGCAAAAATTCTCAAAGGAAGTGTGTCCGAAAATGCATTCCCGTGAATGAAACGCTCCTACATCCAACTCTTCAACCAATGATGGCCAAGTTGGAGGAAGAACTCAAGTACCTTCGCCTACAGGATGCAAAATCGACTCAAACAGCAATGGCGGAGTAAGTGGAAGTTCTGGAGATATGGGGCACGGAGCTCACAAGTGCCCGAGGTATATGGATCCGACTTATGGCCCGAACCTTGTAGCGGTCCTTTTCGACGTTAATGTCGTGCAAAAATATGCCCTCTCGTTCCAAAACGATCCTTATTCAAATACTTACAATCCCGGGTGGAGGAATCACCCGAACTTTTCATGGAGGGATCCGAAGGAGAATTATGAGCCACAACCGGCACCACCTCAAGCTTATGCCCCACCTCAAGCATTCGCACCTCCTCAAAACTAGGCGTTTCAACCGAGGCCTGAGTTCTGAGACTACCAACTGAAGTCGAGGGACAGGAATCTTGTCTTCTCTTATGCCTTAAAATGTTAAAGTGCCTGGATGGATTATGGAGCAATATGTGTTCAATGTACAACCGTTCGGATGGTCTCGTTTGGACACACAATTAGACGAACACCATTAGACACACGGTGGTGAACCACCGTGTAGAGTATGCGTTTTCTTTTCCTTATTTTCTTTTTGTCTTCGTTGTTTTTCTTGTCTGTTTGTGCTTGTGTTCTTTGCTTATTTTTGTTTATGTTCATCGCATGAGCTTGTGTGATTATGTGTTTCTTTTGTATGGTTTTTGGTCAAACAATGAGGACATTGTTTTGTTTTAAGTGTGGGGGGAGAGTTTCTTTATTATGCTTTCTTAGGCGTTGTTTCTTTTGTTTTAGGTGTTTTATTTCTGTTTGACATGTCTTGGACCGGTTTTGTTTGATTCTTTGTGTATTTGTGTTGATTCCCCAACATGAAGCTCAATATTTGTTCAAAGTCAAAATGGCTAAGTGGCGAGTTGAGATTGTTGATTGGTTTCATTTTTATTTTTCGTATCTTATGTGCTTGATGAATTAGATGATTTTCTAAAATTGAATGATGATTTGTTGACAATGGAATCCGCAATTGAAATCACGAAATTGTTTTGTTCCTTGTTTGTTCTCGATTGGTGAGAAAGTCGCTTACTATATAAAGGTTTTAACCTTTCCGAATAAAAACCACGAGCTCGGAAAAATTCTTTGACTCGAATTCGTATAAGGATCGATGTAATTGAGGCTAAGTTGATCTTGTTCTCTGTACAGATGAGAACAGCAGAACGCAAAGGCTATCCGAATTTGGATAAATCAAATTAGTGGTTGTACGAAGGAGGTCAACTATATCGAGCCTCTTTTTCGTATTCATTTTCGAGAAACTGTGTTCTACAGTGAATTTCTTCTTCATATCTTGAAATACTCTTGCCTTGTGATTTGATTGTTGTAAACGTGTTATGCTTAGACACTTGGGTACGTATTGATTGATTTGGGATGTTCATGTTACTGTAATCGTGATGTATCCTTGTGTTGACACTCCCTTCGAAAAAAAAAGAAAGAGAAAAAAATAAAAAAAAAAAAAAATGTGAGTTCGCGAGGAAGTACGGATTAGGCTCTTCTTATCCCGATCCACTTCGTGGAATGGGATGATGAGCCCGGAAAACCGGTCTAGGAAACTCGGGAAAATCTCTCGAGGCTAAACCTAGATAATCATCGTCCAGAAACCTCGTTTGGTAAAAGGTAGGTTACGGGAAAAAAAATTAAATAAAAATGAGCTCGTGAGAGTTGAAAAGATTAGATTCCGGTTGGCAGGTTACTCCTCTTCTAGATGGATCGGGTCAATGAGTACGGAAAATCGGCCTAGAAAACTCGGGGAAAAACCCTGAGATTAAACCCAAGTAATAATCATCCTAACTATTCTCATTTGAAAAAAGNAAAAAAAAAAGAAAGAAGAAGAAAAATATAAAAAAAAGGGAGTTGGCCTTGTTGGTTCCATGCTTATCGTTATTACATGTTTAGTAGACCGTTTATAGCTTTTTGCACGTGTATATAGAGAAAGGAAGTTTGAATCGAGTAAATCATGTGTAGAATGACTTGGGACGAGTTTTTATTTTGTATGACTTCATCTTGTGGGGACAGTGTTTTCGAATTTGAGTTTAACTTTTTGGATAACCGGAGGAAAAAGAGAGGCTCATTTCGCATGGTTATTAATTTTGGACCTTTCGATTTTCTTCTCGAGCTAATTGTTGTTTTGTTTGTTTGAGGGCAAGCAAAGAGATAAGTGTGGGGGAGTTATTTGTTGTGTTTTTGTCGTGTTTTCTTGTGTCTTATGTGCCTTAGTGACCGCGCGTCGCGACGCGGCAAAATTAATATTTATATTTTCCTTACAACTTCTACCAACTAGTAGTAGTAGTGAGCAATGGTCGAACCCACAGGGAATGTAGAATTTAATTGTAATTATTCTCTTTAATTGAAATCATAAAAATACTAATAAAAAGGGGATTTTGATGCGAATTAACTAACGACTAGAATTAAGAATTATGGAATGAACTCGAATGCAACAACTAAAGATTGTAATCAAATAAATGGGAAAGCTTCTAGTCCACGATTCCGTCTACATCCTTGACTGACTCGTCTAATCAATTTAAGTATCAGACTTCTGTATCTCATGGAATTACTAGCCCTAGGTAACGACATGGTCTGTTACCCGAATTTTTCTTTATTTTTAATTTAACCGTGAGACGCTCTACTATTAAACCTAACTTCTTCTACAGTCCTGAAAAACGTTTTCAAGATTTAATACAATCAACCGCTTTACGAATTAGAAAAATAGGCTAGACTAAGTAGTGAACACAACCGCGTTCGTTCACTTAAATAGGCCGTGTTATCCCCGGTAGTTACCGTCTTCCGGTTACCTCTTATAAATTAAACACAACAACAATTACGGATTGAAGGTTCAATTCAGATGTAGATATGAAAAACCTTATCTAGGTGATCAATCTAAACTAGACTAAACACATCATGGTTAATTATTCAAAATAACACAAGCAATTCCAAAAAGATATTGAATTCATCAACCATATAAATCAATCAAACGTTGTCAATCATAGGGTGGGTTCGACTTTCCCGGGACTAGAATAGAATAACTACTCACTCATAGTCTGCAATAACATAATCATGAATTTAATTACACGAGAAAGAAATAAAGAAAATAAAGATGAAATTCTTCTCTAATTTCCAAAGCTTCCGTCCTGTTGCTGTGTGTTGCGATCCTTTTCTCCTCTGTTGCTTTCAACTCCCGAAGCCGCAATGTCCAGGTCAAAGAATAATCCCCGCAGCCCAAGTCTTCTAATGTATATATATCTCTTTATTTTTTTTTACTCTCTAGTCAACTCTGGCAATTAATAATCAATTAGGCCTTTGACTTAATCTCCATAATGAATTCAGTAGACGTGGCCCACTTCTTCAAACACCAAATATATAGTCCTAATTATATTAATTTTCTCCAAGCCCTCTAATCGTGAATTGCATGGGTCTTCTACATGAGTACGGGGTCTGCTGGTTCAGTACGGGACACCCCCATACTCGATGGTAAAACTTCTTTGTCCTTCTCCCGAGCATCCACACCTCATCGTGCAACCAGAAATAGCTCCAAAAGTACTGAAAATCACTCAAAAACTCATCAAAGCACAAGAGTTGATCATAATATAAAATAGGTCGAAAAACGTATAAACACGAGGAATTAATGCGCACAATCACAATATTAGACAATTAATGCAAGAACGATTCTCGACTAATCACTTAGCCATGTCTTTTTAGTTTCGTTTTAGTGTCAACTGGTTTATTTTATCTTTTGGTTCATATAAAAAAGGGATTGACCTCGGTCAATTTAAACAAAGATGAGTGAATGAGAAAGAGTTTCCACCAAAAACCAGACGAAATAGTAGGTCAGTGTTTTGTGTATTTTTGTTCTCGTTTTGTGTTTTTGTGCTTTCACATATTTTTCTTGTCTTTTTGGTGTTGAATAGGTCCACTGACGTGAAGCTTAGCCGCCCGAACCATTTTCGAGCCATCTCGGGCCATTCCCAAGTCAAGATTGTGCGAGCCCTAGCCTTCCCGCACGTTAGGCGCGCTCGCTGCGAGCTATGACTCGTGAGCGCACGAGACAGGGTGCCAAACCTTTGTGGACTTGCTGCGAAATAGTGCCCGCGTGCGCGCGACCCGACGCGGGAAGACTTGCGCGTATTCTCAGTGGACAGTCGTCCGCGTGCGCACGAGATGGCGAGAGAGGGAGACCTGCAACAACACTCACTATCCAGCGAAGCAGTCTGCTACCTAGCGAGTGTCGACCCACAATAGCACTCGCTACCCAGCGAAGCAGCGCGATACCTAGCGGGTGCCGACACCTGCCAATTGTGGCACTCGCTGTGAGTTCCCTTCCGCGAGCGCCCGAGGTGACTTTCCAACACTCACCAGAGAGCCCCAACTCGCGTCCGTGCTAACCTAGACACGCGACCCATACACCAAGTGTCCAGTCACTCGCCAGCAAGCCTGAGGTCGCGACCTGGCGAGTTCAGCCCGTCCACCACTCCTCACACTCGCTGCGAAAGGCGTTTCAAGACCTGATGTTTTTGAATTTCATTAAATGTGTGTGAGAGAAGTGTGTGTTTTTTGAGAGTGTATAAATATATTTGCTTCCTTGTGTGGGAGCACCTAAGTTTCATTCTTCACTTTTTTCCTTTTGGGATTTGTTCTCTCCTTTTTATTTTCCTTTCTCTTTTGTGCTGGGGGCTCTATGATTCTAATTTTCCGGTGACTTAATGTTTATTCAAGATTCAAGATTTTCACTCCATTTTCTTCGAGCATGCAATAGGAGAGTGGGTACTTACTTTTAAACTTCATTACTCCGTATTTGTTCCATTTTTACTTATGAAGTTTTCAAGGTGAATTTGGTGTTTTGCTTGTTGACTGGGGAAAGTTTGGATCTTTTTATTTTCATTGCTTGCTTAAGTGATTATAAGAGTTAAATACTTGCTTATCTTGTATTAAAGTTTGAGACTTTGGTTAAAGCTCAATCATTTAGGTTAAGAAACCTAGTGTTAATTACCTAGGAACTTGGTTTTAGCATATTTCTCTTCGTTTATTTAAGTTAAATACTTGTTTATCTTGTAATAAAGTTTGAGACTTTGGTTAAAGCTCAATCATTTAGGTTAAGAAAGCTTGTGTTAATTACCTAGGAACTTGGTTTTAGCATATTTCTCTTCGTTTATTTGCGTCTTTCTTGAGTTGTAGAGACTCCGGCCAACTAAATTTCCCATCTTTTCTCTTAAAGCTCTGATTTTCTATGTTTGCTTTCAAGTTTTTTCGATTCTTAGTTGTCATTAATCTTAATTCAACCTCAACTAACGTGATTAATATGTTTAGAATTTTATTTGCTAATTTTGTGCGTTTGGACAACTAATTAGTCGGCGAAGCTCCGAACCGACTTCCATTGAGAGACGACCCGAGCTCGATAACTCGGTTATGAACCTATTTTGCTAGAATCGACTAAAAAATAACCCGAGGATGACCTACAACACTCGTGGCTATAGTCCTCTCATATTTTATCTCTCTTATGCGGATGACATCATTATCTTCACTCGTGCAGATGATGATGGTTTGGGTGAGCTTATGCACCTTTTGGAGTACTATAGCTCTTTCTCCGGTCAACTTGTCAGTGTTCAGAAGAGTATCATCATTCTCTTCCACCACATTGCGAATCGGTGGGCACCTCAGATCCACGAGCGTATCAACTTTGCTCGTGGCAACCTGCTCATTACCTACATTGGCGCTCTTTTGTACAAGGGCTATCTCACAAGAGAACTCTTTGCAGACGTTAGGCAGAGGATGATCGACCAGATCTCTTGTTGGTCCCATAGAGATCTCTCTTTTGGAGGTCGGCTTGCGCTGATCTAAAGTACCTTCAGCGCCCTTCCGACTCATCTTCTTATGGTCTTTGATCCCCTACATCCACTCTCTATGAGCTCTAGGTGGGGAAGACAGCACCACTGGGTGAAGTGGGACTTCGTTTGTCATCATTTTTTTGAGGGAGGCCTTGGGATCCGACGTTTTTCGAACGTTGTCACCACCTTTGCTTTCAAGATGTGGTGGCGTTTCAAGGAGGGAAAGTCGCTTTGGTCCCAATACCTGCATGGAAAGTACTGGTCTAGAGGTGCCTGTCACCCCTGCAGGGTGATGACCACCAATCGGGACAGTAGACAGTGGAAGCGACTCACTAGAGTAGGTAGGCGTGCTCAGGAACATATCTTCTGGATGTTCGGTGAGGAGGACGTTAGTTTTTGGGATGAGCGTTGGGTTGGTGAGGGCCCTCGATCACAGGACAGATCACCCACTCCCGTTCCCTGTGGGTGACTGATTTGTGAACCAATGGGACGTGGGATAAGGATAGTTTAGAGAGGGTTTTGGGTACTAGAGCGGGTTTTAGTGACCACCTTTTAGAGCAAATCCAGCAAATTCTCATCTCAGATGACGGTTTCGACGGTATGAGGTGGAGTCTTACATCTTTGGGTGCTTCCTGTACATCCTCGGCTTAGGGGGAAGTTTGGCAGAGTGACCGTCGTAACCTTCTCTTCGGGGCTATTTGGACCGACCTCCTTACTCTGACCATCTCTGTTTTTCTTTGGCGCCTGCTTTTGCGCCGGATTTCAATTGACTCTGTAGTGTAGGCGAGGGGGGGTCTCTTTCCCCTCTGGTGGACTTTGCTATGAAGGACTGGACTGAATCCTCCTTCCTTAGGGTGATGTCTGGCCGTCTAGGTTGCTTCTGTTGGTGTGGATGTTGAGTTCTTTTGTAGTTTGGAGTTTAGAGCTTGTTGTTGTTGTTGTT